ATGCCCCATCCAGACAGCCGGAGACATCAGCCCAGCCCCCGCCATGCCCCATCCAGACAGCCGGAGACATCAGCCCAGCCCCCGCCATGCCCCATCCAGACAGCCGGAGACATCAGCCCAGCCCCCGCCATGCCCCATCCAGACAGCCGGAGACATCAGCCCAGCCCCCGCCATGCCCCATCCAGACAGCCGGAGACATCAGCCCAGCCCCCGCCATGCCCCATCCAGACAGCCGGAGACATCAGCCCAGCCCCCGCCATGCCCCATCCAGACAGCCGGAGACATCAGCCCAGCCCCCGCCATGCCCCATCCAGACAGCCGGAGACATCAGCCCAGCCCCCGCCATGCCCCATCCAGACAGCCGGAGACATCAGCCCAGCCCCCGCCATGCCCCATCCAGACAGCCTGAGACCTGCAGGCTTCCCATAAGCCAAGGCCTGGTTTTCAGCAGCCGCCCCCGGCCCTGAGTCCAGTTTTCAATAAGCTTTCCCCAGTGAGCTGTCCGCGGTGCTGCTGCTCTGTCAGCCAGTTGCCTCCTCTGCACTCCTTACCCTCCAAAGTGGCAGGGTCTGGCTCTCACCCAGCAGTTTTATTTATACTGGTTTGCTGGTCCTTAATTGGCTGCCTCTCACACCGTTGCTCCGGGGTGCTTGGAGGACTTCTTTACTGCTCCTTTTCAGGGGTGGTGTGTGGCAAGGCCACAAGCCTCCAGCAGGGGACTTTAGGACTTAATCCACTCTGTAACATGGTGGCCACATGCCCTCAAACTCTGAGCGGGCAAGACCCTACTCCCCAGCATCAGACCCCCCCCCCCGGCCAGGTATGATCCCCCTGCAAGTCTGGCCTGCTAGCCTCTTGGCTTGGGGTGTCTCCCTCCGAGGGTCCCCCTTGCCCTTCACAGCTTCTCACCCCACCCCACTCTGAATGGCTCCAGCTCCACTCAGCCTCAGCACTGATGCTGCCTCCAGTCCCAGGCTGCTTGTCTGGCCCTTCTGCATTGCCAGTGGGTATCAGAGGCTCTGGAGGAAGAGCCCCCCCCAACAGCCAGGAGTAGCCTGACCACCTCCACCCCAGCCCCGCTTCTGCGTCCATGGCTCTCCCTCCATGGCTGGTATAGAACAGGGGTTGGCAGCCCCCAGCACGCATGCCACAAGCAGCATGGGAGCCAATTTTCACTGGCACGCAGGGTGGCAGCCACACAGCTCAGGCTTCCTGCAGGGGCAGGGCATGGGAGAGGCACCTGTGTGCATCCCTGGAGCTGCCCCTGCCCAGCCTGGATGTGCAGCTCCCAGAAGCTAGGGGGTTGTCCCCCCCTCCAGCAAGAGGCTCTGCTTCCTGCTTTGGGAGGGGGTGGCACTGGGCTGGCCGCGCAGCTCCCCGCAGGCTCTGTGTGGGAGTGCCCCACTCTGCCCATCCAGGCTGGAGCCTGCCCCAGCCCCGGAGTCACAGCCTGCAGGCAAATGGCTAGTCTGGGCAGGGAAAAGACTCAGCTTTCCTGCCCCAGCGCTGCTCCTGGGAGCTGACAGTTTTACTCTCCCAGCCCTCTTCTGCCTCCAAACTCCCTCTCGTACCCCCATCTCACACCCTCTCCTGCTGCCAAACTCCCTTCCAGACCCTGTCCTCCTCACCCCATCCTGCACCTCCCCTCCCACCCAGATTTTGCATCCCTATCCCACTTGCTGGCAGATCCGCACAATGAACCCCTCAGTTTTGTTCCCACCCCAGAGTCTAAGGGAGTCCACATAATCCATTAGCCCTGGAAAAGTAAATCTGGCCTATGGAAAGCCCTGAACCTCAGTCCTCCCTGTCCTTCCCCTCACCTGTAGGGTTGGAGCACCAGAGGAGTGAGGTGTCTCCATTGGGGGCCACATCAGTGAGAGGGGTTTGGGAGGAGTGTTTTGCTTCTCACTTGTGTGGCTCCCAGCTGATTTTTCTGTGGGTCAGAGACCCCCAATGCAAAAAATGGTTTTCCACCCCTGCCATAAATAAAGAAAATATTAAAATCTTTTGTGTTGGACACAGTGTTTTATTTTATTTAAATAAATAACAGGTGAGTGCTACCAGGGAGTTTAGAGAGGGAGTTCTCCAGGTAAAGGAGAAGAAGATACAGGACTCTTGAGGGAAGTGTTTGGGGCTTCTTGCTGTGTGCTGAGCTTGTGTTTGTGAGTGAGGGTTGCTGTGTGTTTTTTTCCCCTGTGATTGTGAGTGAGGCTTTTTTTCACTTCCCCTTTCCCCTCCCCCTTCCCTTCACAGAGTGTGTGCTCTGACTGGCAGGTGGAAAGAAGAAGACGGGTGGTGGTGGTCGGGGACTCCCTCCTAAGAGGGACTGAGCCATCCATCTGCCGTCTGGACCTGGAATCTCAAGAGGTGGGCTACTTACCGGGAGTTCAAATTCAGAATGTGACTGAGAGGATTGCAAAACTTATCAAACCTTAGGATTGCTACGCCTTCCTGCTTCTCCATGTGGAAACTATCGATATGGCCAAGAATGACCTTGAGCAGGTCACTGCAGATTATGTAGCACTGGGCGCAAGTGGTGTTCTCGTCCATCCTCCCTGTTGAAGGGAAAGGACTGGGCAGGGATCATCAAACTGAGGAAGTAAATGCGTGGTTGCGCAGGTGGTTTCAGAGTGAGGGCTTTGGTTTCTTCAACCGTGGGACTCTGTTCCAGGCACAAGGATTGTTAGGAAGAGATGGGATCCACCTAACAAAGAGAGGAAGGAGCATCATGGTGGGCAGTCTTGCAAACCCAGTGAGGGTTTGTTGGGGGTTGGTGACCAAAACCCTGAGTGGAGTGGGGAAGTCAGATACCAGAAAGAAATGCAAAGAGGAACAAGCAAGAAAGGAGGACCCCTGATTCAAATGGAGAAGATAGGGCAATCACCTGGTTATCTGAGGTGTTTGTACACCAATGCGAGAAGCCTGGGCAACAAACAGGAAGAATTGGAGGCCTTGGCTCAGTCCAAGAAATATGATTTAATTGGGATAACAGAGACTTGGTGGGATAACTCGCATGACTGGAGCGCTGTCATGGAAGGGTATAGACTGTTCAGGAAGAACAGGCAGGGCAGAAAAGGAGGAGGAGTTGCACTATATGTAAGAGAGAACTATGATTGCTCAGAACTCCAGTATATATAGAGAAAAAACATGTTGAGAGTCTATGGGTTAAGATTAGAGGTGCAAACAACAGCAGTGATGTTGTGGTTGGTGTCTGCTACAGGCCACCAAATCAGGTAGATGAGGTAGATGAGGCTTTCTTTGGACAACTGAGAGAAGCTTCCAGATCTCAGTCCCTGGTTCTTGTGGAGGACTTTAATCACCCTGACATCTGTTGGGAGACCAATACGGCAGTACACAGGCAATCCAGGAAGTTTTTGGAGAATGTTGGGGATAATTTCTTGGTACTAGTGCTCAAGGATCTGACCAGGGACCGTCAACAACTTGACCTTCTGCTCACAGACAGGAAGGAACTAATAGGGGAAGTGGAGGTGGGTGACAACCTGGGAAGCAGTGATCATGAGATGGTAGATTTCAGGATCCTGAGCAAAGAAAGAAAAGAGAGTAGTCAAATACACACCTTGGACTTCAAAAAAGCAGATTTTGACTCCCTGTCAGAATCCCCTGGGTTGCTAACATGAAGGGGAAAGGAGTCCAGGAAAGCTGGCAGTATTTTAAAGAATCCTTATTGAAGGCACACAAAGAAACCATCCTGATGCGTAGCAAGAGAGGCAAACATGGTAGAAGACCGGATTGGCTTACAGGGGAAATCCTTGGTGAAATTAAGCACAAAAAGGAAGCTTACAAAAAGTGGAAACTTGGACAAATGACCAGGGAGGAGTTTAAATGTCTAGCTCGAGAGTGCCGGGGGGTTATCAGGAAGGCGAAAGCACATAAGGAATTGCAACTGGCAAAGGATGTGAAGAATAACAAGAAGGTGGTGATCAGAGAGGGTGCACGGCCCCTACTGGATGAAGGAGGTAGCCTAGGCTATGTCTAGACTGCAAGCCTCTTTCGAAAGAGGCTCTTTAGAAAGAGAGCGTCTAGACTGCACGGAGAAATTTCGAAAAAGCGGCTTGCTTTTTCGAAAGAAAGCATCCAGTGAGTCTGGATGCTCTCTTTTGAAGAAGCCCTATTTACATTGAAGAACGCCTTCTTTCGAAAGAGGAACTTTCAAAAGAAGGCGTTCTTCCTCGTAAATTGAGGTTTACCGCCATCGAAAGAAAAGCCGCGTTCTTTCGAATTAATTTCGAAAGAACGCGGCTTGAGTCTGGACGCAGGGGAAGTTTTTTCGGGAAAAGGCTACTTTTCCCGAAAAAACCCCTGAGTCTGGACACAGCCCCAGTGACAGATGATGTGGGGAAAGCTGAAGTACTCAAGGCTTTCTTTGCCTCTGTATTCACGGACAAGTTCAGCTCCTGGACTAATGCGCTAAGTGATGCAAGATGGGATGAAGATGGACAGCCCGTGGTGGGTAAAGAACAGGTTAGGAACTATTTAGAAAAACTAAACGTACATAAATCCATGGGTCCGGACTTAATGCATCCGAGGGTACTGAGGGAGTTGGCAAATGTCATTGAGGAGCCTTTGGCCATTATCTTTGAAAAGTTGTGGAGATCGGGAGAGATCCCAGATGACTGGAAAAAGGCAAATTTAGTGCCCATCTTCAAAAAAGGGAAAAAGGGCAATGCAGAGAACTATAGGCCGGTCAGTCTTACCTCGGTTCCTGGAAAAATCATGGAAGGGATCCTTAAGGAATCCATATTGAGGCACTTGGATGAGAGGAAAGTGATCAGGAATAGTCAGCATGGATTCACAAAGGGCAAGTCGTGTCTGACCAATCTGATTAAGCTTCTATGATGAGGTAACTGGCTCTGTGGACATGGGAAAGTCAGTGGATGTGATATACTTGACTTTAGCAAGGCTTTTGATACGGTCTCACACAATATTCTTGCCATCAGTTTAAGGGAATGTGGATTGGACAAATAGATTCAGTTTCTAACATTTTTAAAGAACTTGTTCTCCCTCTCCCATCATATTAAAGGGGTAGATTATTACTCAGTAACATCTATTTTCTCTAGTTAGGGATGTATGACAAGATGTGGAATTAGAGACTTTTAAATAATACTTTTTCCCCCTGGCAAATGAGCTGGGCTACATTAGAAGGGAGATGCACCAAGTTATAATTCTCTTTCATTTACTGCTTTAACAAAAAACAAACAAAAAAACCCCCCACCACCAAGGTATTCTTCCTAGATTATCTACTGAAAACCACTACCTTTCTTCTTGAAATGGAGAACTCCTTCTCACATTGTTTACAGTGGGTTGCTTCATCATCTTTTAGCCAGGTATGACCCTAAAACAAAACAATCACATATGCAAGAAAGATCCATTCAGTTATGAATTACTTGGAGAAAAGATATGAAGTTGAAGCTGGTTTAGGTTGCAACACTTGTAATTTACCACAGCCATAACTGCTCAATTTTAAGAATTACTTTCAGCATGAGGTCACGTAAAATAAAATATGTATAATACTTAATTTACATTTTCAAAAAGTGTATATTACCTTTAGTGCTTTATTTACTTCTTTAATATCTTCCATCTTCAGTTTGGATCTGGAAAATAATTTAAGAAGTTAGCTCCAATGTTAACATCAGATAAGGACTACTTTATAGATAAAATGTAGCAGTTCAGATGGAACTACTACAGGAAGGGGGGGTGGGGGAAGGTCCCAAACCCACAATCCTTATTTGTGCAAGTATAAAAAACCCAAAAATCATAGGTTGCCCAAAATCTGTGTATACTTTTTCCATACTTACTTTCTAAAATTCACACATCTGATTTATATAACTGGGATGCTCATTAACTGTAGCATATGTTATTGAGTTTGAAACCCCAACCTCATTTAGTTACATAGTTTGAGTTGTCAGAACTTACTGGCTAAGGTGTAGTCCCATTTCTTGTAGAGCTTGTTCCTGTTCTCCACAGATCTTCTCTAACTGCTGCTTCTCTTCTTGCAATTTTCGCAGTTCCTGTAATTAACACACTAACTCAGAGGTGGGCAATAATTTTTGATGGGAGGCCACTCCAAGATTTTGGAAAGTGATTCAGGGTCACACTATTCCAGGATATTAATGGAGGAGGTGCAAGGTGTGGGAGTTGATTTAGTTGGGATTGGTCCTGCCTAGAGCAGGGGGCTGGACTTGATGACCTTCTGAGATCTCTTCCAGCTCTATGGTTCTATGATTCTAAATTTGATAAACTAACACAAAAAAGTTAAAATGCTGAATCTGTTTAATAATTTAAATTAAATCGTTCTCCCTAGCTGCAGCACTAGCGAAACGGCTCAGATGTAATTATGTAATTAACGGCGAATTTCCATGAGCAGCTGGTCACTGCGGAAAAGTTTGCATTGACCCCGGTGGTCCATGGGGCACGTGGTGGAGTGAGTCCCTCCCCGCTTCCAGGAGAGCAGCATGGCCTGGGGCAGGAGGGTTAAATACTGGCAGGCCACTTCGGAAAGGCTGCTGAGCCTGCTGTAGCAATTCGAAGTTCGCAGCTGAGCAGCAGCACACTGTTCAGTGCAGCCCTTGGCCCCAGGACACCACTTGGGCCAGAACGCAGCCCCTGGGCACTGTGCATCCTGGCCCAGTGTTGGGTCTGGATCCTGGCCCCAGGGTGCTGTTGGTCTGGAACCAGGCTCTAAACCCTCACCGCTCCTGACCTGCATCACCTTAAAGCACCTTTGAATCCAGGTCAGAGGGTGGAGACACTGGAATATTTTTTCAGGGGGTGCACTGAGAGCCATTGAATCCAACTGGAACTATGATGGAAGCCACTGCAAGCCTGGGGCACAGCAGCCCCTACAGCACCCCTCATGCCTGCACCCTGTCAGAGAGTCTGTGTAGCTGTGGAGGGGGGGCGTGTTAGGTTACCACATGGGTAAGAACTCGGTTTAAGTGTGCGGGAAAGACAGGACCTATGAGAGCTCCTCCAATTTTTTCCCTGGCTCAGGACAGGAAGAGGAAAGTCCTGGCTCTACTCCTCCGGTGACAGCAGGTCACAGGGCTGCATTTGCAGATGCAAACAGCTTGATGAGGAAGCAGACGGACTTAAAGCCTAATGCCTGACAGATCTCCCAGCCAGAGCGGTTGTTTCCTCATTTCAGTTAAATTTTATCCACGCCCGACATGCAAACAGTGCAGTCCTTTCCTGCCCAGGTGGCCAAGGTTTGCAATAAAGATAAATACTTTCTGCAGCAGTCACTGAATTCCAGTCATGGGTAGCTCCTCATTTCAACTTCACATTTGCAGGCTTGGATACTGATAAACAGAGCCCCACAAATCCATGGACATCTGCTTTATAGCCACATCTATATCCACAGATGTGGATGTGGATGTGGATGTGGATATCCGTGGCTCTCTTATGCAGATATGGATGGGGATACAAATTTTGTATCTAGAATCCAGCAACTCTGCGGATATCCGCTTGCTATCCATGTGTTCTGTTGCTCTCCTCCTCCAGTTCTTACATTTCCGTCTTACCATGTGATGCCCACAGCTCAGGAGCAGAGGAGAGACACGCCTGGTCTGCAGCATGTTGCTAGGAGCTGCATCACCTTGTAGTGATGGGATAGCAAGGGAAGGAGACTGGAAAATGTATCAACAAGGTTTCCATAGTGACCCCTAATAAATTCTCTGTGTGTCCATGGTGCATGTGGCCCTTTGCAGGGGAACCTTCGAGGCCAATGAGGCAGTACAAGAGACACGGCAGCACAAGACAGGTCCAGGTATGAGCAGAATGCTACGTATCCCAGAACCCCCTGCATTCATTCCAGCCACATTACATTCTGGATGTGACATGGCATTCTATAGGCTTTATGAAAATAAGTTCAGGATATGAATAAGTTATAAGTGAGATTTGCCCTCTGCAAGATGGCTGATGTAATCTCATTGGAAAGGTGATGATTTCTAGAATATGGCTAGCCTATTTGCATACACCCTGTTGCTGGAGTTAGGAACATGGATGGTAGATTTTATATTACCAATGTGTCCACGCTGGGCGAAGCCTTCTATCTGCCCTTCCTGTACAATGGAAAAACTGGACAGTGCTGAGGGCTCGTCAGCAAGAGACTGTGAAAAAGCCTCACCTTCCTGGGAATGGATGGGTCAGTCTGTGAAGAATGGCCCCAGGGTCCCTACAGAGACATGTGACCGTGGCAGCAGATACTTGGAACCCATCCTGAATTCTGTACCTTTCCATGAAAAGCTGGTGGGAAGTGTGTGTGTGGGGGGGGGGGAGGCGTGTTAGACTAGGAAAAAATGGATTTATGCAAACCCTATTTAAGGGTGGGGAGTGAGGTAATCTGGGTCATGAATTCTTCCAGCTACCTCACCCAAGATGACTACTGGAAACAATTAAGGCTGAATTGGGGGAAGAAACTGGGCCCAGGCTGGAAGGATGTCTGTCCTGTGAAGAAGATAAGAACAATATTTAGGGAGAGAAATATTGATTATAGCCAATTTCTGTGGTATGCTAAGATTAGCAAGTCTGTTTTATTTACTGAAGTGAGCTTCTTTGTTCTGTTTGTTGCCACTTATAACAACTTAAAATCCACCCTCCTCTTTTAGCTAATACATTTTTTTTTACTGTAACCCAGTTTGTGGAATTTCTAACCAGGGAAGGGGGCGAGAATCTGTGTATTCCTTCCTTCACCCTGAGGAAGGAGGTGAACTTCATTTGATTTTGGGTTTGTTCCCCAAAAGGGAGGGGGTGAACATCTGGGTGCTAAAGCTCAGTCTTCCCAGTGCTGATCTCAGTGTCTGTATTTTCTGCAGGTGGGTGTGCCTCTGCCTGTGTGCTGTGCTAGCGCCCGAGAATCTGCCTTTAAGGGGGGCCCAGGCTGGCAGTGAAGCAGGGCTCAGTGATGTTTAGGGCCTTGTCTACATTGGTACATTTTGACACCAAAAATTGCCTTTGATGACAAAACAGTGAGAGCGTTTACCCTGCAATGAGACTTGTGGGGAAAAACACCCAGTTTTGATGACAAAAAACTTCCAACCCTCTGAGAGACATTTGTCTTTTCCCCTCCCTTTATTGTTGAAAAGCAGTCAGTGTGGACTCAGCTGTTTTATTGAGGGAATTGGTGTCCACTAATATCCCATAATGCCTGCCCTGATGGCTGTGCTCAGTGTTCTGTGATCTCTGCTGCCCTGCAGGCATGAACCCTCCCTTTTCAAAGGTGACAGCTGACAGCTGAGGGAGCTGCTTTGTTTGGGGAACAAAGAAAATCTTTAGAATGCTTCTGTTCTGCGCTGCTAGGAACACAGTGACAGGCAGACTGTGGCTGCAGAGGGAGGGCTGGAGAGACGACTGTGCTGCTTTGACATTCCTTAGCACAGAGAGCTCACTGAGGTAGGAAGGAATCCCAAGAAGTGCAGGAATTAGCTCTGCCTTCCACAGCACTGCACTGTAGGATGTTTACTCATATTCCTTTGCTCTACCTGTCAACTGGGTACTAATAAAGTGGCTGTGAAATGTCGACAATGGGAGGCAGAAAAACTGATTTGGCCAGTTTTCACTTTTGGCGGCTTTTGCATGTCACCAGCGCTTTTGTCGACAAACCTTCCCAGTGTAGACATAGCCTTAGTGTAACCTACACACCTACTGGGTCTGGGTCACTGTCCCATGGAGTGGTACTTAGACCACTGACATAGAGAATAATAAGCCTTCCCTGAGAGCTAGCTGGCTCCTAGCTCAAGCTGTACAGGCTCGTGCACCAAGGTCCAGAGGTCCCAGGTTTGGTTCCACTTGTTGGTGTTACAAAAGCACCTCAGGTGACATCCCAGGGGTCCTGAGGTGCCACATTTGGTGATTGTTGTGTGATCTCGCCTGCAGCCCAGGGGAGCTGTGGGGAAGGGGTCAGACCTGTCACCTTCCCACCATGTCACAGATCTCAGCTCCCACCATTCCTCATGGAGGTTGCAGTGAGACAAATTCCTGTTCAAAAAAGGCACTCCAGGGAGGGCAGCCCATTGCTGGGTTTCAGGTACAAGGGGGCTATGTCTACACTGGCATGATTTTCCAGAAATGCTTTTAACAGAAAACTTTTCAGTTAAAAGCATTTTTGGAAAAGCACGTCTACATTGGCAGGATGCTTTTCTGCAAAAGCACTTTTTGCGGAAAAGCATCCGTGGCCAATCTAGATGCGCTTTTCCGTAAAAAAGCCCCAATCGCCATTTTCGTGATCGGGGCTTTTTTGCGGAAAACACTACTGTGCTGTCTACACTGGCCCTTTTGTGCAAAAGATTTTCAGAAAATGACTTTTGCCTGAATGGGAGCAGCATAGTATTTCCGCAAAAGCGCTGACAATCTTACATGAGATTGTCAGTGCTTTTGCGGAAATTCAAATGGCCAGTGTAGACAGCTGGCAAGTTTTTTCTGCAAAAGCAGATGATTTTGAGGAAAAACTTGCCAGTCTAGACACAGCCGGGATGTGGGAGGTTCCCCAGCCTTGGAATCTTTACACTAAGGCTATGTCTACACTCTCGGCTTCTTGCTCAAGAAATATGCAAATTAGGCTAAGCGTGGAATATCGCCAAGCTTCATTTGCATACCTAATGAGCTGCCATTTTGTGGAAGACGCTTTTGTGCCAGAAGCAGGTGTCTACACTGCCCTTTCTTGCGCAACAAAAACCCTCTTGCGCAATGCCATTCTTCCTGAAAAATAAGGGGCAGAACGGCATTGTGCAAGAGGGTTTTTGTTGTGCAAGAAGGGGCAGTGTAGACAGCTCCTTCTGGCACAAAAGCCTTTAACGCAAAAATGGCGGCTCATTAGGTATGCAAATGAGGCTCAGCAATATTCCACGCTTAGCCTCATTTGCATATTTCTTGTGCAAGAAGTTGCAAGTGTAGACATAGCCCAAGAATCCAACTTGGACCAGCAGAGAAAGACAGAAAAGTGAAAAGGTGACACAACCCCAGACCAACCAGGGTGTCCTTCACTCTCCTGCATCCTGGGGTGGGAAGGGAAAACAGCAAGGACATTTCAAAATGTTTCAACAAGGTGTT